GTCATTATATTATTGTCATTGTTTAGAATTGCCACTACATGGTTATAATAAGATAAAGACCAACTTTTAGCCAAGCATTATCGCTGTTTTAAAATTATATATAGACGATACCTCCCTTTATTGCCTACACCAGAGGCTGAAGGCTCCCACCACCCATCCTGGGTACGCCACTACTCTGGTTCCATTAAAAAATAAAGATTACATTTGAAGGGAGGGGTTTTTGGTTTCTAAGCAGGGGGGACTTGAGGCCAAGAGAAAGTGGTAGTGATATCTTTGTGGCTATTTGTATTGTAGCTCTAACTTCTCTTGACTCAAGGAACCAATAATTTACCCAGCACAAGATTTCTCTTTTTTTTTTTTGAGATGGTCTCTTGCTCTGTCACCAGGCTGGAGTACAATGGCGCGATCTGGGTTCACTGCAATCTCCACCTCCCGGGTTCAAGCGATTCTCCTGCCTCAGCCTCCCGAGTAGCTGGGATTACAGGCAGGTGCCACCACACACAGCTACTTTTTGTATTTTTAGTAGAGACAGGCTTTCACCATGTTGGTCAGGATGCTCTCGATCTCCTGACCTCATGATCCACCCACCTCGGCCTCCCAAAGTGCTGGCATTACAGGCATGAGCTACAGTGCCCTGCCCAAGCACAAGATTAATAATTACAGCAACATTAGTTACCACACTTACAGTTTACAATGTGTAAACTGGCTGAAAGCATGTACTCTATAAGGCAAGTATTAGTATTTCAATTGCACAGATGAAGATGACGCTTAAGCTAAGAAAGATTGATTCATGTGTCCCAGGTCACAATAACGCAGGAGGAAATGTAAGATTTGACAGGTTTAATCTGGCTCCTATTGCTGCACTCTTGCCACTACCCCCCTGTTTTATCTGTTCACTGATGTTCGAATAGCCACCAAAGTACTAAAAATGCTAACATTTCAGAGGAGGCACATCACAGGGGCTCCCAGGGCCAATGCTTAAGGAGGGCACACCCTGCACAAAGCTGTGGGCTGAAGAGGCAAGCAGCGCTGAAACAAGCCTGAGCTTGGTTGTTTTGTAATTTGCACAGAGGAGCTGTATGGGCTGGCAATGGCATGGAAACACCGGTGACTGCAGCTTAAGGAATTCCATTAGCCTCTTGATTTCTGTTTTCTGTCTATCCTTTGAGGACTATTTGCCAATTTCCTGGAAGTGGCTCTACCTCAAAAAAGCTTCCTGGCTCTTAAATGTAGAGTTTACAATCCTCTGAGGCCAGTGTGAAATGCCCGGTTGTCCTGACTGTTGTCAGGAACAAGACCAGCATTCCCTCAGAAGCTCATCATTCTGAAAATTAGACACAGACCACTTATTAATATGTATGGCAAATCTGGGATCCTCCTTAGTAGGTGTAGCTACAATAAAGAGGTCAACATGAAGGCCTGGGATTTGAGAGATGAAACAACCTGTACCTGTGTCTTACACTTTGGAAAATAGGACCTGAACATTTTTCAAGATCTCTTGAGAGTGGGCCTCAAGGTTGGGGGCTTCTTTTCAATCTGTCACAGTCATAGTCACTATAGCTTGTAAATGTTTGTTGCTTGAATGATATTTGAAGTAAAATATTTATCCTAATAAATCAGTAATGTGGGAAATATGTAGTCTGCCTGATATGAATGCTTTGCACTTAATCCTATTAGTTTCAAAGGAAGAAAAAGGACAGATATGGGAGTCAGGCAACTTTGCTTTCTCTTTCCATCTCTGCCACAGCCTTTGGGTATGACAGTGAGCAAGTCATTGACCATCTGTAGAATGCAGATTTAAAGAAATGATGGACTCAATGATATCTCCAAATGCCTTCATGCTGGTACAGTGCTCTTTTAACCAAGCATATTCACATGGTAGTAACATGTTTCATGGCATTTTGTAGAATTTAATGATCCCTTGGTACACCCTTCTCATGTGATGAATACTCTTGATAAAAAAGACAGAACAGGCTGGGCATGATGGCTCACTATAATCCCAGCACTTTGGGAGGTGGAGGCAGGCAGATCACTTGAGGCCATGAGTTTTAAGACCAGCCTGGCCAACGTGGTAAAACCCTGTCTCTACTAAAAATACAAAAACTAGCTGAGCATGGTGGCACACAACTGTAGTTTCAGCTACTTGGGAGACTAAGGCATAAGAATAACTTGAACCTGGGAGGCAGAGGTTGCAGTGAGCCTAGATGGTGCCATTTCACTCCAGCCTGGGTCCCGTGTCAAAAAAAAAAAAAAAGAAGAAGAAGAAGAAGAAGAACACAGGAAAAGTGTTATTATCTCCTTTTACACACTAAAATACTAAGGCCATTAGGGGTGAGTCAGTTCCTCTAAAGGAGGCAAGTTCTGTCTCATCTTTCCACAACACCATGCTCTCAGCCAGATATTACTTGGTCCAGTAAAAATTTCGCCTGTCTGGTCTAGCCTTGTCCAGTGTTCTGTTGCTTTGTTCAAACTGAAGACAGAAAAGCACCAGCCTAACTATAGCCTTCAAATGTCTATACTGCAGTGTTACATTGTCCTTGACCTTTATTTCCCTCAGATTGAGCACAGAATGCTTCTCAGATAGATGCAAGTCTGGTTCTGCTTTATTTCTTACCAAAGAGAGAGTGTACATCAAGAAACATGGGAACCAGGCAGCTTCTTTTCTCCAAGAATAGTTTCAGGGGCCAACAAGGCTGGGAAACTGTGGTCAGGAGCAGAAGAGTCACAGCTCAGTAAGTCATTCTCTTGCTGGTGGGTTTGACAACACACAGCCAATAACAATAATGACAAGAACTACTTTTATTAAGTGTCTACAGTGCACTAAGGATTTGACAGATATTGTCTCATTTAGGAAATGAAATTTCTAAAAATGGAAGTTCAAGAAATTAACAGTTGTAGAAAGAAGCTGTAGGAAAGGGAAAAAAGAGTTATGGAGTCTGAGAGCAGAAGCAGTGTTACATGGAAAACTGTGAAGATAGACCACAAGGACTGAGAGCCTGTCATGGCAGCAGCCCACACAGCTGCCTTGTGTCCCCTGGGAGTCCTCTCTCTGAGTCACATTCAGGCCACCCGCCTCTACCACAACCCATGAAAGAGTGAAAATAGATTTTAAAAAAAGAAAGTGAGCTTTGGGGTCTGAGAATGAGTCTTTGCTCTACCACTCCCTAGTGACTCTACCACTTCCTACCAGGGAAATCTTAACTGAGTTTCTTCACATCTGAGAGTGTCAGTATTTTCATCCATAACATGTTGGTCTTTTTTTTTTTTTTTTGCGTCTTTTTAAAAAATGAAGCTTAATCATATAAGTTCCTTGAGCTCAAAGAAATCAGCAAGAAAAAAAAATAATTTCCTCAGAAAGTGGGCAAATGACATGAATAGATATTTCTCAAAAGAAGATATCCAAATGTCCAACAAACATGAAAAAATGTTCAACATCTAGTTATCAGGGAAATGCAAATTGAAACCACAACAAGATACTGCCTTACCCCAGCCAGAATAGGTTTGTAATAAACGAAGTCAAAAAACAGCAAATGTTGGCATGGATGGGGTGAAAAGGGAACAGTTACAAGCTGCTGGTGGGAATGAAAATTAGCACAACCTCTATGAAAAACAGGATGGAGATTTCTTAAAGAACTAAAAGCAGACCTACCATTTGATCCAGCAATCCCACTACTGGGTATCTACCCAAAGGAAAAGAAGTCATTCTATCAAAAAGACACCTACATGCATATGTTTACTTCAACACAATTCACAATTGCAAAGATACGGAACCAACTAAGTGCCCATCAACCAACAAGTGGATAAAGAAAATGTGGTATATATACACTATGGAATACTACTCAGTCATAAAAAAAACAATGAAATAATGTCTTTTACAGCAATTTGGATGAAGCTAGAGGCCGTTATTCTAAGTGAAGTTACTCTGGAATGGAAGAATCAAATACCATATGTTCTTACTTACAAATGAGAGCTAAGCTATGGGTATGCAAAGGCATGTAGAATGGTACAATAGATTTTGGAGACTCAGGAGGGTGAGAGGGGAGTGGGGGATAGAAAAGCTACATATTAGGTACAATGTATGCTACTCAGGTGACATGAGCACTAAAATCTCAGATTTCACCACTATACAACTCACCCATGTAACCAAAAACATTTTACCCCAAAAGCTATTGCAATAAGAAAAATTTAAAAATATATAAAATTCCTGGCATAGTATCAGCAGATTCTGGGTTTCTCAACAAGAATTGGAAGAGAGAAGAGAGAAGAAAAAGGATCAACAGTCATTTGTTATATTTATTACAGTCATTAATATTATTTTTCAAGATCCGACTTAGGGTTCTTTAGTAAACGGTAAAATTCAGAGCATTCTTCTACAGATTACCTACTAGAGATTTTTCTTCCTTGAGCCTTGCTAATTAAAAAATATCATAAATGTTCTAATTAGGCCGTTGACATTTATTTTCAATAATTGCAAAGGGACTTAAATAACATGTTAAAGGACATGTTAATATTACTCTACAATTTAACTCACTGTGACTTGATGCTAACACTAATTTGTAGAATTAGTCACATGGAAAATAAATTAAGTTCATGGGACAAATGGGGAATCTGAGATCCCTTTTCCAAAATCCAGGGTCTAGCAGAGCATATAGGAAGTGAAGCAAACTAGCACAACCATCCAACTTAACACATTCCGTGGCATTTGGAGCTGTGGTGGGGAAAAGAGGCTCCCTAGTTAATTTCACACTTCCTCCATACATTTCAAAAAGCAAGGTGTGACTCATTTTAAAAAACAAGGTGCAGCTGGGTTTTTTAAAAAAGACTTTCCCTAGGCTAAATGCCAGGTATTCTGCAAACTCCCTGGCATAAAGGAGTTTTCTGTTTCCTGGTATCTGTTTGCTATGGGGAATCCAAATCTTCTCAGTAACAGCAAGGGTTTTATGCTTCTGGTAGGATGTTTCCTGCTCTTTAAGGCTGTAGGTTTACCGGAGTTGCTGGCCTTCATCATTCTGAGTGTAGGCATGTTGGGGGCATGTCTGCACTCTATACGACCCAGGGAAATTTACTGAGGTGGCATCCACTGGGTACCTCATGTGTGTGGCACCCCCAGCAACCCTAGGAAATAAAAGCTGTTGTCTGTGTTGGACACATTAGGGAATCAAAGCTCAGAGGGGTTACCTTGTCCCTAGACCATGCTGCTTCTCCAACAACACAGCCCATCTGTGCTGAAATATCTAGCAGGTCCTGGTGGAGGGGATGGAGGCCCTCTCGGGTCACTTTGCTATTCTCCACCAGGGTCCTCAGCCACCCGCTCCTTGCTGCGGATGCCCCAGGTTTGTTTTCTTTGGCTCCCTCATTAATGAGTTCCACAGCACAATGCTAAGTCTAGTTATGCAGCCTTAATTGGTTTAGTTACAACAAGATAATTCCTTTTTTCTTCTCTTGGAGGCCTTTCTGTTTAAAGACATTTTAGCTGGAAGATGCTAATTATCAATGAGGAGAAAATGACACCTGAAGAGTTCATTTTCCATCTTGGTCTTTGGTTTTTCCTTTGAACTCTCTTTACACGGCCCTCTTTCCCACTTCATCACTTCTCCCCCACCATCATAAAAGAGAGCTCTTCCCTGGCCAGGCGGCAGAACTTTCTTTCTCACTTGCCAGGGAGCCATTCCTTCTGCAGCTGTCTCGCAGGCATGGACAACCTGCGCGAGACTTTCCTCAGTCTCGAGGATGGCTTGGGCTCCTCTGACAGCCCTGGTCTGCTGTCTTCCTGGGACTGGAAGGACAGGGCAGGGCCCTTTGAGCTGAACCAGGCCTCCCCCTCTCAGAGCCTTTCCCCGGCTCCATCGCTGGAATCCTATTCTTCTTCTCCCTGTCCTGTTGTGACTGGGCTGCCCTGTGAGCATGGCGGGGCCAGCAGTGGGGGCAGCGATGGCTGCAGTGTTGGTGGGGCCAGTGGCCTGGTAGAGGTGGACTACAATATGTTAGCTTTCCAGCCCGCCTACCTCCAGGGTGGTGGTGGCCCCAAGGCCCAGAAGGGCACCAAAGTCAGGATGTCTGTCCAGCGGAGGCGGAAAGCCAGCGAGAGGGAGAAGCTCAGGATGAGGACCTTGGCAGATGCCCTGCACACCCTCCGGAATTACCTGCCACCTGTCTACAGCCAGAGAGGCCAGCCGCTCACCAAGATCCAGACACTCAAGTACACCATCAAGTACATCGGGGAACTCACAGACCTCCTCAACCGCGGCAGAGAGCCCAGAGCCCAGAGCGCATGAGCTCCGTCCGGGGAAACTGACCGGTTCCACCCTCCCGGGCAGGAGTAGAGGAGCTTTGAAGACCTGGATATCTTATTGAACAATGATTGGCGTGGAGTGATTTTTATGTAGTAAGCGTGGTAATCTTGTGATCTGCAAAACACTGAGGGAATTCACATCTGACCTGTTGGAGCCACCGGAACACTTACCTGCCAGATGAGCAGAGACTTTCACCTCCAGTTTTTTTCCACCATCTCTGGGGGGCTCATCCTTTGCAAAGAGACAAATTATTTTGCCCTTCTCTGTCTGTTCAAGGTATTTTAAAGGGTCAGTGATTTTAAATGCATTTTTTCAATAATGTAAAAGTGTTACAGTTAATCTCCTGCCATTTTGGTGTTGAGAGCTTTCCTTCTGTTGCTAGCAAAACCTGTAGTTTGTATAGGATCCAGTGTGATATCTGGAATCTTATTTAGAAAGATTTGTGCCAAGTAAAGGGCTTTAGTGCTCCTGTTTCATTTTGTGTGTGTATGTGTGTGTGTGTTTGTGTTTGACTGAAAACATGCTCTTGCAGGGACCAAAATCACTTAAATGCAGAAGGCACTGGTGTCATGATAAATGGAAAGTCACAGGCAGACAGGCTAAGTTAAGACAGTGAAGATCCCAAAGGCCAGAGCCTCCTCTTCATAGGCGGACAGCTTGTGTGACAGGGAAGGAGGGTACAGGAAGGAGGAGGAGGAGGAGATAGCACCTTAGGGTGGGCCTGAAGCAGGGCTGGGTGGGCAGGGGCTCCCTGTCCTTTGTCCTGGGCCTGGTATGAACAGGACCTTATTTAGTCCTTTTGCTTACTTGTTTGTCAAATAAAGAGATGGTCTCAGAAAAAAATAAATAAACAAATAAATAAATAGTGATTTGAATCCCATAAAGAAAAAGTAAAAGGGTCAGTGTTAGAACTCAACAGTCTCTGACCCCTCCAAAGGCATTTGCTTCTCCATCTTCCCCTGCTATCCATCTACCTCCCCGTAACCCCAGATCCCCCACACGCACCCATCACACATACCCAGTCTTCATGGTGCCTTGTCTTAGGGTGAGCATCTGTAGCACCCACAGTTTAGCTCATTTGAATGGCACAGGACATTGAAAAGGGGGCTTTGAATTAAGGAGGTTCTTAAAACTAGTGAGATTATTTTAAGGCTAAATTTTTCTACCTATGGTTATTAACCATTAGTATTTGTTGTACATGTCTCCTATCATCTTTTTTCTATTAGTGATTTTTTTTTCTTTTTAGTGACAAATTACAAAAGCAGTAGATGTGTTCACTACTTCTCCATTTTTTTTTTTTTTTGCTGATATAAACATACAAATATGTATAACTTGTCCATTTTTTGCTGATACAAACATATACAAATAAATATAAGCATACATAAATGTTAAAGGAAAAAACCTGAAAATTCCTTAACTTAACAATATATAGTACAAATTCTTCCAAGTTAGCACAAATAAATCTGTGGTGTAAATACCATGATTACCTTCATTTTATAGATGGGAAAACAGATGTATGACTTGCTGAGTCACACACGAGAAAAGTATAACAGGAAACAGAGGTTCTAGCAAGGTTCAACAGAACAGATTCTGTAAAATTTCTTAGGCAAGTCACCTTTTCAATGATTTTTAAGTTGTTTTCAGTATTTTTTATGATAAAAATGCTATAACAAAGATTATAGACACTAGCTTTATTTACTGATGTGTTCATTAGCTTGAAAAATTCCCAGAAATGGGATTCTTGGATCAGAGTATGCACATTTTAAATTTTAATAAATATTGTTATGTCACTTTTATAAAAGTTTGTAGTTATTTATACTCCTCCTAGTAGTATGTGACAGAACCAGTTGCCTCACATTTTCATTGGATGTTATCAATTTTATGAATTTTTAATGGATAAAAATGGTTCATTGATGTGTTGACTTTAACTTTCCTGTCTCTCATTTGCGGTGGAGCATCTTTATTTTATGTGACCATTGTTCATTTTGGTTCCTCTTCTAAAACTTGCCAGTTTATGTTCTTTGCCATTTTTCTATTGTTATCTTCTTGTTAGAGAGTTCTTTGTATATTATGCATTGGAATATTTCCTTTCAATCTTTTTATATTGTATTCTTTTTTCTTTTTTATTGATGCATATTTATTCATATTTACAGGGTATATTTGATATTTTGTTACATGCATAGAATGTGTAATGGTGTAAAGATCTAGTCAGGGTATTTAAGTATTCATCATCTTGAATATTTATCATTTCAGGAACATTTCAAGTCCTTGCTTCTAGCTATTTTGAAATACACAATTCATTGTTGTTAATTATAGTCACCCTGCTCCGCTATCACATACTAGAATTTATTTGTTTATCTAACTCTATGCTTATACCCATTAACCAACCTCTCTTTATCCCCTACCCACCCCTCCTGCCACCCACGCTCCCTTCCCAGCCTCTGTTTCCTATCATTCTACTCTCTTTTTCCTTTTTATTCACTCTGTTGCCGAGGCTGAAGTGCAGTGGTGCAATGATAGCTCACTGCAGCCTTAAATTCCTGGGCCCAAGCAATCCTCTTGCCTCTGCCTCCTGAGTAGCTGGGACTATAGGCATGTGCTCCATGCCCGGCTAATTTTTGTATTTTTTGTAGAGCATGTTGCCCAGGCTATCATTCTACTCTCTACTTCCATAAGATCAATTTTTTTTAGCTCTCACATATGAGTGAGAACATGCAATATCCTTCTGTGCCTGGCTTATTTCACTTAACATATTGACTTCCACTGTATTTGTTTTGATGATGTCTTTTTTTTTTTCTTTTTTTTTGAGACAGAGTTTCGCTCTTGGTGCCCAGTCTGGAGTGCAATGGCGTGATCTCGACTCACTGCAACCTCTGCCTCCCAGGTTCAAGCAATTCTCCTGCCTCAGCCTCCCAAGTAGCTGGGATTATAGGGATGTGCCATCATGCCCGGCTAATTTTGTATTTTTAGTAGAGATGTGGTTTCCCCATGTTGGTCAGGCTGGTCTCGAACTCCTGATCTCAGGTGATCCGCCAACCTTGGCTTCCCAAAGTACTGGGATTACATGCGTGAGCCATGGTGCCCGGTGATGATGCCTTATGATCTTGATTATGGTATCTTTTTTTTTTTTTGAAGCTTTTCATTTTTATATGATCAGATTTGGTTTTTGTTTCATGGCTTATGTGTTTTTCCCCCTTGCTTAATTTTCCCCAGTTCCAAGGCTGTCCAAGTGTTCTCTGGATGTTTTGCAAATACTCTTAGAGTTTTATTAATTATTTATGGCTCTTCAAAATATCTGCAATTCATTTTTGTCTGTAGTGTGTGGAAGGAAACAAATTTTATTTCTGTGTAGCTCGTCATCAGGGATTGGGGGGTGGTGGTGAGGCACAGTCACTAAGATGTCATTCTATGTATATAAACTTTCACCAGCTTCTCATGTATTTGGTATTTTAGAGAAAAAGCTAGACAACATTGAACAATATGAAGACTTTCTCCAAGGAACTTTATCACTTGCATGTACAGGTGTTCATGTGAGAGCATATGTGTGTGCACATATATATGTATTTGTTCACCTGTGTGTTCATGCATGTGTATGTGTGGGTTGTGTTTTTTTGTTGGAGAAAGAGGGTATTGGAGTAAGGCAGAACCAACTGTTCTAAAAACCAACTTCCGGTTCAAATGCTATTTTCCTCACCATTTTTAAATGAGTGGGACTCAAATGCTCTTGGCTTTGATTTTTCAAGCTCAAGTATTAACAATCGTTTATAAATAGCTTGGGCAATTTTGGTTGTGCTGGGCACCAAATACTGTGAATGAATTAGGAGGTATTTCCTGTCCTCAGTTTCAAAATATCCCTTAACGTCACAGACTCACCTATTAGCTGGGTATGCCCTCAGGACGTCTAAAGGACCCACTGGAGGGTAGGTGTGTGCAAAACCAGGAGAAGATGGCAGCTTCCTGGGAGGGGTCCTGTGGCCCAGAGCCTTGTCTCACCCACACCCCCTTCCTAGCCTCTGTTATCTATCATTCTACTCTCTTTTCCCACTGAGTCCTTCCCAGATTGCCAGGCTGCAGCCACAACTGCTGTACAGGATAGGCAGCCGTATATGAGTGTTTGACTCCTGCCAGTCCCCAGTGGAGTCGCCTCCCTTATCAGGAGGATATCTGGAATAGGTCCCTCATTCTTCCAGGGAGTGTTTCAAAGCATCTGGCCTGCGCAAAGCTCAAGATTAGGAATAAGTTATTTCTGGTGGAGACTGGTTCCGTCTCCCAGCTCACATCTTTCTCCAGTTCTGGATGCTTCCTGCCCTTGAACATCGGACTCCAAGTTCTTTATGGTTGGGACTTGGACTGGCTTTCTTGCTCCTCAGCTTGCAGATGGCCTATTGTGGGACCTCACCTTGTGATCATAGTTGTATAAAGGGAGAAGAAAGCCACGTGATGACAGAATCCAAGGAAGAGATTGGATTCATGCTGCTGCAAGCCAAGGAAAATCTGGGGCTACCCAAAGCCAGAAGAGACAAGGAAGGATTCATTCTTAGAGGCTTCATAGCTCTGCTGATACTTAGACTTCATATTTCTTGCCTCCAGAACTGTGAAAGAACACAATTCTCTTGTTTTAGTCTATCCAATGAGAGGTAATTTATAGTGGCAACTGTAGCAAATGTAATACATCCATCGTCTATCATAATCTTTCTTTTGGAAAAGGGAAAAATGTCTTCTCAGGTTTTTTTCACCTTCTCTTGCCTCATTTTCTGTAGTTGAAGTGGGGGCAGGGACTAAGCATGGCTAGACATATTGACCAACTGGGCAGGTTGGATGATTTCACTTCATCTTCTGTAAAATCAGATGAACTTGTAGCTGGATCAGCAATTTACTCTAGTTCTATAGTTAGCTGTACACTCACTCTCACACTCCTCAGAAGATTATCTTGTATCACTTTCTCTATTCTTAAATATTTTATTCTCTTCTCACTACTTCACTCTTAGCTAATGATTTTTCATAACATTGTTAAACAAACCAAAGGTATCCAAAACAAACCGAAGTGATCCAAAACAAACCGAAGGTATCTAAAACAAATCGAAGGTATCCAAAACCAAAGGTATCTTCTCCCTCCACAAATCCAGTGATCTGTGCTCTGATTCTTTTCTCCCATGTCAATGATTAGTTTCTATACATGTCTTCTGGATGTCATCTTCTATTATCTTTGAAAGCACTGTGCCTCTTCATTAAGCCATCACTATACTGCATCATTAGAGTCTCTGTTCCTATTCCATCATTCAGTTTACAAACATGCTTTCATGTTCCTTATCCTTCATAGCAAAATATAACACAAACATGGGAGTTATTTGGTGTCAGGCCTCTGAGCCCAAGCTGAGCCATCATATCCCCTGTGACCTGCAGGTGTGTATACGTCCAGATGGCCTGAATCAACTGAAGATCCACAAAAGAAGTGAAGATAGCCTTAACTGATGACATTCCACTATTGTGATTTGTTTCTGTCCCACCCTAACTATCAATGTACTTTGTAATCTTCCCCACCCTTAAGAGGGTTCTTTATAATCTCCCCCACCCTTAAGAAGGTTCTTTGTAATTCTCCCCACCCTTGAGAATGTACTTTGTGAGATCCAACCCCTGCCCACAAAACATTGCTCCTAACTCCACCGCCTATCACAAAACCTA